TGCAAATATATCAAGAAAGTCAAGATGTTTTATTTGTTCTTCCCTGCCAGTTAGCAAAAGATAAGTTTTACATCTTTGGGAAAACAAGCATGTATTTAGCTAAAATTATAAAAGATTCTTTGCAAGTTGACGTAACCACACATATTGTACCGATGCAGATTTGTTTGTCTGTAGACAATGTTTTCAAGGCTTGAATAAGTATGATCGCACTTCAAAGAAACTAGAAGAAGAAAGATCTTGATCAGTCTTTTGTTCAGCAAGAGAAACGACTGTGGGCAAGGGAACATGACGGAAGTCAGAATCCCAAAACACTAAAAGCTGTGAAGTGTCCTGGACGTTTTGTTGAATGATCGAGAACTATCGGTAAAGCTTGAAAAATCAAGGATGGCATGCTTCTGGTGGGAATTTAAGCACGAATTTTTGAACAGCAAACTCAAAACTGTCCGCGATGCCACCTGCCATGTTTAGTATGATCGCACCTTATAATACGTGAGTTTCTATTGGYCAATAATTTTGGTGGGAACTGCTGCAAGGAAATGAAAGACAACTGTACTGTCAACTCAGAAAAGTGTGGGAGTCAAGTGCTAAGACGCGAGTACAGACAAAGAGGTGTGAGTAGTTAAATAGTAACCATCTTTCWTTCAGATCATTAAAAAATGGATTTTGTTGGGKTTTTTTATTGCAAAGAAAGTCTCAAATATGATAAACARAGTTGTCTTGATTTCCTCGGTCCAACTTACGGAAAATATGGAAGTTGGATTACCATAGCAACAGTCCAATATGTTTAGACGGACTGCGGGTTTGCCAATCAGAATTCAGGAAATTTTCAAGCCATATAATAAAGACAGGATATTACACTACATGGGAAGGTTTTAAGCACGATAAGATTATGATGTAATATTCTGCCTATCATATGATTATATATGAATGTAAATTATGGTGTAGAATATATTTAAATGTTTAAATACTTCTAATACATAGTGAAAGCAAGAATGCATTACTTTCACTTTTATATATTAATTAATGTACTGTTCAAAATTCTAATTGTTTATTTACATGCTACAATTTTCTTTTTTGATGGCTTGCTGCAACAACATCAAAACGATAGAAATATCGAGCCAGGAAAAAAATATTTCTCATTTTTTTTCAAAAATAGCCCGACTTCACGCTCTAAGACCRCCTAGTTCAAGATATGCAAGACTTGAATAAATTACGTAAGACTTAAATAAATTTGACCTAAAAGGTCATGTAATCAACAGGCTTGATAATTCAACAATTTTTGATGCAATGTCAAAAAGAAAAGACTTATACTAATCAAAGTGTTTTGTACATGAACAACTTACTATACTCAGAAGAATCTCCAAAAAGTTATTTTCAGTCGATTGTTTTAAACAAGAACCACTTCGTGGAACATACCGTGTCCAGGTTACACTAATACAGCTTCAAGTAGCATGCTTACAAAACTGAATCAATAACTTTTCTAGCTTTAGATGTGTCTTGTGTGGGCAGAGGTTTCAGATTAGAACAAGAAGAAACTTTGTTTATCAATAACAAAAAGGTGACTTTAATTATTTTATAGGTATCTTTTATTTTGTAAAATATGCTTCTTGACCTGAGGGGTCAATTTTTTAATTAAAAACATGAAAGTTTACTCCAAGATATCTRATAATCAAATGCATTGCGACATTTAGTCTACGGTTGCATTAGTAATGATAGCATATGAGTTTAAAGACCATTTAAAGCATTTATTTTGAATTTATTTGAATATTACATGGTTTTCTTGGGATACAAATTTTATCTTATTGTGTTTAAAATCTTTTGCTCTTCACATATTCGCAAATCCAATTAATTTCTTGATTTTCCAAAATAGCTAGCYCGACTTCACGCTCCAAGAGTGTCTAGTTTTATATAGAATCAGCTCACAGAGAATCAAAATGTTTTTTAGAAGTGTCAGAGGCACTTTCAGAATAATGGCATGGYATTCGAATGATGACTCTGACAAAATTCCCTGAGATTGCAAGCAAAAGCCTCCAAATTCTCTCCATAATTTCAATTTTGAGCAGCTTTAATAAACTTTTGATAAAAGTCAAGCCACTATGCTATCGCCTTGAAAGTGCATGTGAATGTAATTCCGGATAACTTCGTAACTGGCTCGCTTTTACTCTGGTACATATTCGTTATAAATTCTTCGGATACATTCATAATTTTGAGTCATTCTTGGGCTTCCTGTGTAATGACGTCATTATCTATGATGATGTCACAACTAATTCTGCCTTCTCCTCCCTCACAACTGTCTACAACTTTCCTAAACCACCCCTCCCCCACTACCATCTTGTACGCGTGCACATCTCGCTATCCCGATACTCAATCAGGCGCTCATACAATATATACATGTACAAGGAAATGAACGACTTTTCATCCATGTGGGATGTTATGTTAAATCATTTTTCTTTCTAATATAAAAATTAGGTAACACCTAATAGCGGAGCTCCAATAGCAAT